AACACTCAGAAAACAGTCTGCCTGCCTTATGTGAAGGGGTTATCAGAGAAAATACAAAGGATCTGCGGTCCATATAACATCAGGACAACCTTCAAAAGCGTGACAACACTTCGCAGGTATCTCTCACGAGTGAGACTCCCCACAGAGAGGAACATGACTAAAGACTGCGTGTACGCTATCCCATGCAGCTGCGGAAAGGAATATAAAGGAGAGACAGGCCGCCCCCTCAGGGTAAGGCTTCAAGAACACCAGAAAGCTGTAACGCGAGGGGAAGTAGAAAAATCAGGCGTGGCTGACCACATATGGAGAGAGAAGGGAGATCACCGCCCCCTGTGGGATCATGTTGAGATCATAGACAAGGAACACCATTGGAAAATTCGTAAACTTAAGGAATCAGCACATATGCTAGGCCACAAAAATCTCCTGAGCCGACCAAGCATAGAAATAAATACAATATGGGAACCAATAATAAGGAGTGCCAGAGAAAAGCAATGATAACAAAGTTGCAATATGAGCACTGGTAAAAATGATGCTGAAAACATTAGGTTTATAATACTCAGATGTTCCTACCCAGATGTCCTCAAGGACACATGGCACAGTTGATAAAGGCGTTGGTTAGAAAGGCGTTGGTTTGATCCAGTGACAGTCCCAAAGAAGGCGAGTTCAATTCCTGGTTAAGGCAGTGGAGAACTTTCAGAGGGAAAATTAGCAGGAGATAACTGATAACTGACATCCATCAAACATGGCACGTGGAACTAGGACAGTTTACCCCAGTGATCAAATTCCAACCACCTGAAGAAGGCCGGAGCGTACAATGGCCGAAACGTTGTGACAAATATGGCGACAAAGATGAGGACAATAGTCCGACTAATGTAAATACTGTACATAATACCTCATCTCAGAAATATAGACAAAATATATATATATATAGTTAGTTTATGAAACCTAAGGAGGATAAAATCCAGAGAGCTCAGTGTAAATCCAGAGCAAATAATTCAAATAAAAACAGACCACTTTAAGGTTCTATATAATAAATTATTTCTCCGGAGCCCTTTTAAAAGGACTGTGGATCATCAGACTTTACTTCCAAACAAAAAAAAGCCTTTCCATTTTTTGTTTGGAAGTAAAGTAAGTATATATATATATGCGCCCTTTTTGACGTATCAGAATAAAACAACTTAACTCTTAGAACTGAACAGCCAGACTATTCGCACAAAGAATTTGATAATAGTCGTTCGGGCTTGTAGAGAACCAACCAAATACATAGAACTGTGCCACAATTTCCCAAACGAGTCTTCCCTGGTTTTGAAATTAGAGTTGTCCCCCTTCCCAACTCTATAGGACCCAACTTGTCTATTTAGCCATACCTTAGCTTCATACCTTTCCCGAGGTTATTTACATGTAAGCAAAGGTAACTAATTCTACTGGTATTCGAACTCGCCTCTCAGATTCCCCAATCCGAGCCGATATCTATTTTGCAGTAGAAATATCTCTCAGCGTCTGACAAAAGGATCAACTGTTATTAAAATATATATTTAGCTGTTATTTGAACAAATGACTAAAGTTTTTATTCATTTGGTTTTTTAAAAAGAAATCCTTCAAATAGCGGTTTCTATTCACCAAACACTGTTGTAGATGATGTCTAAACTTTTCATTACCCTGAATTTCGAGCGCTTGGAGCTTTTCCAGTTGGTTGAAGCGCTGAACATGTTCAAGCCATAGCAGTAGCAATTTACTATAGAGGACCGTATCATTCCGATGTTACATAAGCAAGAAAAGCTCTTTGTAATGCAATTACAGATTCATCAGTCTTAAAAGAAAATGTGTGGACTTGACCAAGCCTCTATGGAAACTAATGGTATCTGAAAAAATGTAAGTGACTGGCTCGATGAAGCTAACATTACCACATACATAACTTCACTAGCACAACAGAGGCGACAGTTTAAAATGCAGCACATAATTCTGCCGCATACAAACCGTCTCTCTCTTTCTATCTGTCTGAGTGTTTCCTCCCCCCTCTCTCTCTCTCTCTCTCTCTATATATATATATATATATATATATATATAGAGAGAGAGAGAGAGAGAGAGATTGTGTCTAGCATGAAATAGCCTGTTGCTTCTGAATGTTGACTTCAATGTTCACTTTTATATTTATATTTATATACGCTATATCTCTGATATTGAGCACTTTATCCCATAGATATAGCACACCTTAAAAATATATATATATATATATATATATATATATATATATATAATATGCATGTTTCTCCAATGTTTTGTGAGTAACAGCTTTGGCAACTTATTTTATATATGCCTGCTTCAGAAATACTATTGCTTTGAGGATCTGATTATATCCATAATAGTTTTGGAAATCCTTGTGATTATTTAAAGGTTATTTAGATGGGATAGGTTATTCTGGATAGTGAACGTGACAAAATTGGTGAGTAGTATTATATATTTGATCTCATAATTTATTATTACGCATGATGTTGTTATTTTTGTTGCGGTTGTATATTTTGTATGCCTTTCTAGATATTGTAAGTTTTGAATGTGATTTCCCTGTATGTTTCTTCTTTAGGTAAATATTCTTCTTCGAACTCTTACTATTTCAGATACATAGATGACTCACTATTAATTTATTCAAAAATACTTATTTAGCAACAACAAAAATGTTTCAAATCTGGAGTTATTATAGGTTTCTATTTGAGAGCATTAAGAATATACAGCGCCCAATATTTACCTAAAGAAGCATACATAGAAAACACATTCAAAACTTACAATACCCATATAATTTCATATGTATATTAAAGTATGTATTTTTATGTATGTATGTATGTATGTATGCACGTGTGTGTATAATCTGAGAAAGATTTCAGATGTAATATTCTATGAAATGTGTTTTAGCGTTTGAAAAAGTTTTACAGAAGGGAAACATATTCAAATGGGTATAATATTTGAAATGCTCACTGGCCTGTTATACTAGCGACGATAATCAGTAATTTAGAAAGTTCATATTCTCCATTTTAATCCGTTCATTTCAAACAATGAGAATTCCTTCCTTCCTTTCTTTCAATGAGCAATACTAGAGTTTACTGCTGAATAATATTTCCCAAATAAATAGTCAGTCAGAAATATCAAAATCAGAAATATGGAAATATCATTCTTTAAGCACTAATGATACGACGGGAATTAACGGACTTAGAAACCAGAGCTTGACCTCTTATACGGCAAAACTAACAGTGAGAGGGTATTTTCTTAACCCTAGAACACTAATCATCAATTAAAGTTACGCCACTACTAACCATGGGTTAATCATACCCGATTTTGAAAATATCAAACAATATTAAATATCAGTCTTTATTTGAAATATTTTGCATACCGGCACTTCAAACTTTGTACTTTGAGTTAAAATTAATAGGAACTGAAAAGCATATTATTTAGGTAAGACAATCAGGTATTGAAAATTGTAATTAAAAATAGGAAAAGTGGCGCTGGGTACTATATACCCATGGTTAGTGTTCTAGGCTTAAAACCATCTCTGCGTGGGTCATTTTAATCTTCCTCTCACGAGTCAGACATCTGAAATTAATATTTTACATTAGATTTTGAATAAAGAATAAATGATTAATTTTTAAAATTATTCATATTGTGAATATCGCTGAGATGAGATATTATAATTACTTGCATTATTTATATTATTCGGATTTTATTCCTCAAGGTCACATGGCCCAGTGGATAAAGACGTTAGATATATCTAGTGACTAGACCAAAGAGTTGTGAGTTCAATATCAAGCCACGGCAGTGGTGAAACAACACTTGGAGAGCTGAGTTAAAGGAAAATAGCTGAGACATTCAGAAGATGCATGACACGTGGAACTAGAACAATCTACTTCGGTTCATGAAATAAAGGGTTTGATTCGAATTTCTATCACCTAATTTCTAATCACGACCGAAACGTTGTGAATATGGCAACGAAGATGAGAATAAGAGTCTGAATGATGGAAACAATGCTAGTATTCATGTTGTATTAATTATATTCCTGCACACGTTAAACAGATGAAGGAAATGTTGAGATTTCCTAAGGTTTTTTTTTTTTATGCTGGTAAAATTTTAACTGATCATGGGTCTTAGAGTATGCAAGCCTGTATTCCATACAAAATAAAGAGGCAACTTTCTTGCTGGTAAAATTCTGACTCAATTTTTTTATCACGCTCATTGTCTACATTTTTATTAACCTTAATGTAAACCGGATAGCTGTCAATCTATTTGATTCTATTTTAACTTGGAGTACTGTCTGACCTTTTTATTCTATTTTAAATTTATTTTTATATCTTAGTTCTTTGTGATTTTTCCCCAGAACATATATTCAAAAATAAATAATTCCAGAAGGATTACATTAACCAATAGTAAAAAAACGGCAAAACACACAAAACATATACCTATATGTTTATAATCTTAAGAAAAGAATAGTATAAATCATTTGCTTTAAGGAACAAAACACTCTGTTTACGTAAAAAAGCAATCCTATTCTGTCAGAAAGACGTGCATTAATTCTCTCTCACTGTACACACACACATATATATATATATATATATATATATATATATATATATATATATAAATTTGGATGACTCTTCTGATACAGCCTCTTGTCCGTTATCATTGTAAAAAATATATCTGCCTGCTTGCGATAGTTGCCACTGTTAAACGGATCACTTCTCAACTCACTAGAGCACACGTTAAAAGTTGAAGAGAGAACAGCCAGAAATGTACACGAATGACAAATGTAACCTAGTCCATGGGAAAACACAGCGCCATCAACCGGAAACTCTTTTTAAAATTAATAACACAAAAACGACGGATTTACGGATATATGTTTATGTGGACTTTTGTTCTCGTTTTGTTGTGAGGAACCCGCCCACAAATTTAGTGAAAGTATTTTTGATACATCTTGTATATAAGAATTCATGTCAAAAGTCAAAAAGAAAAAAAAAACATTAGAGAAAGAAAGACAAAGATAGAAATCGGAAGAGAGAAAGAAAAAAGAAAAAATGAAAAGAAAAGAAGAATGTAAGAAAGGAAAAAAGAAAGAAATCGAAAATGAAAGAAAGAAAAAAAAGAAAAATGTAAGAAAGAAAAAAGAAAGAAAGAAAGAAAAGAAAAGAAAAAATGTAAGAAAGAAAAAAAGAAAGAAAGAAAAGAAGAGAAAAATGTAAGAAAAAAAAAAAAAGAAATTGAAAATGAAAGAAAGAAAAAAGAATGAATCGAAAAAGAAAGAAAGTCCATCTACTGATTTTATTGAAACCGAAGGAACTGTTGCTTTAGGATCACATACGTCAAAATACGATGGCATTATATATATATAAGTGAACGTAGAAGTCAACACTTAGAGGCGACAGTCTGTTTCATGCTATATGCAATCGTCAGGCCATGTGTGCTGTTATTTTGTGAGTCACAGCTTTGGCAACTTATTTTATATATGCCTGCTTCAGAAATACTATTGCTTTTAGGATCTGATTATATTCATAATAGTTTTGGAAGTCTTTGTGATTATGTAAAGGTTATTTAGATGGGATAGGTTATTCTGGATAGTGAACGTGACGAAATTGGTGAGTAGTATTATGTATCTGCTCTCATATAATTTATTATTACGGATGATGTTGTTATTTTTATTGCGCTTGTATATTTTGTATGCCTTTCTGGATATTGTAGGTTTTTTAATGTGATTTCCCTGTATGTTTCTTCTCTAGGTAAATATTCTACTTCAAACTCTTCCTATACATAGATGACTCACTATGACTCACTATTAATTTATTCAAAAATACTAATTTAGCAACAACAAAAAAGTTTCAGATCTGGAATTATTATAGGTTTCTATTTGAGAGCATTAAGAATATACAGCCCCCAATATTTACCTAAAGAAGCATACATAGAAAACACATTCAAAAACTAACAATACCCATATAATTTCACATGTATATCAAAGTATGTATTTTTATGTATATATGTATGTAAGTATGTATGTATGTATGTAAGCACGTGTGTGTATAATCTGAGAAAGATTTCAGATGTAATATTCTATGAAATGTGTTTTAGAGGTTGAAAAAGTTTTACAGAAGGGAAACATATTCAAATGGGTATAATATTTGAAATGCTCACTGGCCTGTTATACTAGCGACGATAATCAGTAATTTAGAAAGTTCATATTCTCCATTTTAATCCGTTCATTTCAAACAATGAGAATTCCTTCCTTCCTTTCTTTCAATGAGCAATACTAGAATTTACTGCTGAATAATATTTCCCAAATAAATAGTCAGTCAGAAATATCAAAATCAGAAATATGGAAATATCATTCTTTAAGCACTAATGATACGACGGGAATTAACGGACTTAGGAATCAGAGCTTGACCTCTTCTGCGTTATTTTTCTCGGCTATTTATACATATACGGGTCAGTGGTGCATTGTGGGTAGTCTATTATGGCGGTTATTTTACCGGAAGTCGTTTATATATATATATATATATATATATATATATATATATATATATATATATATATATATATATATATATATATAAGTGTGTAAGTGTGAAGAAATATAGTTTTTAGGATTTATGGAATAAAATGTTAAATATCAGAGATAGAGCGTATGTAATTTAAAAGTGAACATTGAAGTCAACACCCAGAGGCGACAGACTGTTTCGTTCAAGAAGTAATCATCAGGCCACAAGGTTTTTCTAACATGAAACATTATGTTGCCTCTAATTGTTGACTTCAATGTTCACTTTATATATATATATATATATATATATATATATATATATATTCTCTATGTTTAGTTAGAAAATATTCTTTAAACAAATATTATTAATGATACCTGATTTGTTTTCTACCGCTTATGAAGCTTTGGCATGCTTAATTGTCCTAATTACGAATGTCTCTTCACAGACAAAGAGGAACTTTGGAAGAAATCCTCTGAAGTTTATTTCAGAAGTAATGTGGTCCAAGTAGTCGACTTTCTTAATTCCTCATCAGGGTAACTAGATACAAATGGTGAGTGTTGTGACGTAAGCAACGAGTGTTGAAACGTAGTCAACGTGTAACATGTGTTTTTTATCAATCATTTTTTTAATTATCTATGCACATTTAGCATACGGGCTCTTAAACTATTTTTTTTTTTTATAGATGATTGTTTTTGTCGTATGGTTATTGCTTCAATAATCACGTGTAGTATTTTGATATTGTGAGTAGCTGTCTAATATTACTTATACTGATTTTTAATATGTTGCCTGATAGTAATCTTGTTCTATAGGCAGTAGTTGTAAGAGACATAAAAAGATGAGATTTATTAGGCACTTCAAAATCTGTAGAATGAAACTGTGATTTCGAGGGCGATTTTTGTGATATACTTACATGACAAAAGTAAGACTTCATTGTCACTTCATCTGACACTGAAGCTTGGGAAATTGTTTTTTAAACGAATTTATAGTTCAAGATATATTTCTCTGTAGATATTCAGAGATTGTTATGCATAAGTTTGTATCGAAGACACCTAAAATTATCTGAGAATCATTTTTTTAAACTTCATCTAACAGATAGACGCCGAATATTTAAATGTAGTTATGTATTATGTTGAGATTGTTCAACTGTAAAATGAATGTTTGGAACATCCTAGAAGTTTTCATTTCGCTAGTAATTATCAGCTATATCAACTTCCATACTTTCGCAATATGACAGGAGGACTACATACACACGTGTCCGTGTTTGTGTGTCTGACTGAAAGAGAGAGATAAATAGATAGATAGATAGAGAGAGAGAGAGAGAGAGAGAGAGAGAGAGAGAGAGAAAGGAAGACAGTATATTATTTTTTTGTGTGAAATGTTGTTTACGTTTTAGTCCATTGTCATGTTCTTTTACTTCCCAAACAATAGAGATTTCTTCCTTGTTTCTTGAAGTTGTATAACATATCCATGAAGACATGCGAGACCGCGAATAAATTAACCCGATAACGGATTATCTTACCATAGCGACATACTTTCCCAAATTATTTCCTCGTCTATTACAATAAAACAATCCGATGAAGGAACAACCGTAACACTTTCTAGATTCAGTGTTAGGGCAGAGAATTATTTGACATGTGAACGGCTTGCAGCAAAAACCCCACAAATTCCTAAAATTATTTTCTATCAGAAACATCTCATTCCAACCGATTGGCCCACCCGGAGGACTCTGATGAAATCAAAGAATGACTATCTCGTAAATTTGAATTGGTTCGCTGGCTAATATTGATAGCACAGGCACAATATTTCTCGTGTTTTCAAATCGTTATTGTACCAACGATTCATGTGAAATATCGTTAATTTTACCCACTGAAGAACTTGTTCTGTATTTATCAGATTCTATCACTATGTTTACAAGTAAAATAAAAATAAATTAAAACATTTAAAATAACAGCCATTATTGTCATAAGGAATCATCCCCAGACAAATGACTTCAATACATTGTTTGCAAGTTTATGTGAATATAAACATCAACATTGCTTCAAAAGAAAGTGGAGGTAAATAAAAAAAATAAAAAAAACAACATCCATCAAAATGAATGAGAGAACTAAAAAATATTACCTGCTCACAGCAGTAGCAATTATGTATTTGGAGTCTATGTGGCAGCAAAACTTATAAAATCGACAACATTATTCTTTTTCTAAATCTTTTTCATAATTGTTACGGTCCAGGTTAGGACCAAGGAAGAACAACACGAACACAAGAGTTGAAATAACGAAGATATATTACACGAAATAATAATAAAAGATGTGGAAGGTGTTAGTATGACTGTCAGTCTAGTTTGGAGTGAACTACTATCGGCTCGACTCGATTCGACCCTCTCTCTTGAGAGGCTTAGTATACACAGTGTTAGGAAGAGTTCATACTGTAGTTATAGGTAAGGACCCATGACAATAATAAAGTCATCTTCCGGGTGATGTGATAAGGATTGCACTATATATATATATATATATATATATATATATATATATATATATATATATATATACAACAACTTCCTCAGATCTCTGGCAATAATATGTTACTTATCTATATCTTCTGTCGACACCGTCATTATAGACATCGTCGCATTTCCTAGTTTTGCGGTCTAGAATCCAGACTTCCAGTTTTAAACAGTTTAAGAAATCTTCAAAATACTTCATAATGGTTTCATTGATTCATCTATTTTTCTCATGGCTAATCATACGGTTGTGGGTTATTTAAAACCGAAAAATATTTAGGATTATAAAAATAATTCTTTTTTGTCAAGGAATATTGAATTAACAATTTTTAAAGAATTACAATGATATTTTCAGATACAAGTCCTACTGTTTATCCCATAGCTAAAGGAGTAGAGGGATTTATAAGATTCCCATACATTTGTGCACGTAAGTGTATAACATGGAACCAATTGGAATACGAACTTGGCTATCCACCAACCGATTCCAATCTATTATCCATTACACAAGCTGCCACAGGCCACAGAGTTATTCCTCTAGTTAGGCTTCTGTTCCACCGTTTGCTTTGTACGTTTTTGTTGTTTGTCTAATGTATTTGGTAACTGATTTCTTTGCCTCTGCAATTTAACAGAGCGTGCCTTCAAATTCCTCGTGCACATTTCGTGAAACCTTGCGATGATTTCCTCCTTAGATAGTTCAATCCAAGCCGTTCTCTTAATTAATCGTATTGTATATTACTCAATGCTATGCTACAGTATTATAATTTAGCTGAACGATCTCAACTCTTTGCTTGAGATTTTCGTTCATATCTGTTTGCGAAAGAAATGAGGTCATCTCTGTACATGAGGTTATTCATCCATTTTTGAGAGTTTGTGAATATCTACATTTTGATTATTTCTTCTATATTGACATCAGAGGTTTAAGCGATATAAAGAATACTATTAGAAAACTCCTTGGAAGCCAACACATTTTACTTTAGCCTCTGCTACATTCTGCTTCCGATTTTGCTTTGAGATTATAAAAATCTTCCATGTTTATGTGAATAGGTCTAAAGACTTTCTATTCATACCAAGGATTAATACTTCTTTAATATCTTATTCTTCTTTCAGTGTACTTGATCAATTAATAAATACCTATGCTACAAATTTCCCAGTGTATAGAGATGAGAAAATAGAACGTAGAATACGATTCATGAGGAGTAGTTACATGAAATATGACAAGGAAAATGTTAGAAGACTTCCATTCAATTTTTCTATGTTTCATACAATATTCGTTTCGGAAGAACTAAGGGAATGCAGAAAGTCTCCGTAATATTTACTGCCCAAACTTTTTCATACAATTTCTTAACCATTTTCTAGGGGTTCATTATTAATATTTTTCTATTTTCATGTTATAAGGTGTGTTGTGTCGAAGTAGTAATAATTTGGGGCTGTGTGAGAGGATGCGGTATGACTATATATTAGGAAATCTTTAAAAGATAAC